CCCTTGAAATAATCATATTATCAGTAACCATAATATATCACAACCATCATTATAATGCTGTCAACACCACCAACCCTATTTGCACCATTACAATCACCACCTCCAACATAATCACCATCATCATCATCACTACCATCACCATGTTCAACATCACCACCACCACTATCATCATCACCTCCAACAACACCATGTCACCATCACCACTATCATCATCACCTCCAACAACACCATCACCACCATCATCATCACCTCTAACAACACCATCACCACTATCATCATCACCATTGCCACCATCATCACCAAATCCAACATCACAATCATCATCATCACCACATCCAACATCACCACCATCATCATCACCACATCCAACATCATCACCATCATCATCACCACATCCAACATCATCACCATCATACCACATCCAACATCACCATCATCATCACCACATCCAACATCACCACCATCATCATCACCACATCCAACATCACCACCATCATCATCACCACATCCAACATCATCACCATCATACCACATCCAACATCACCATCATCATCACCACATCCAACATCATCACCAACCTCGTTCCCAGGCTCTTTGCTCTTGGGAAGCAAAAAGCAAAGAGCCTGGGAACGAGGTTGCATCATCACCATCATCACCACATCCAACATCATCACCATCATCACCATCATGATCACCATCATGATCACCATCATGATCACCATCATGATCACTTAATCATCATCACCACCATCATCCACACCAACATCATAACCATCATTATTGCCATCCTTACCATCACCAACATCACCACCACCATCTTTGTCATCTGCACCACCATCATTATACCCATCACCACTATAATCATATAATTATAATTATCAATCACCCACATCATTAATCACCAAAACCATTAGTACCATAACAACTGTTTACCACCAAACAGCTAACTAGTCTACTACTAGACAAATGCACAAATACCTTTTCCCTGCAAACTATCTTTGTCTTCTTTTGTTGTGAACCACGCTTGGTTAATTTCATCACATTCAGACTGCAATGCATTCTGGGCATCATCAGGTACTGGTGCCATTGCTAGCCTTGGCAAGCTGGGTGATTGGTCCATTGGCTCGATAGGACACACAGACGAAGAAAGATCTGACTCAACCATACTGGGTACAGAATAACAATCCATGGTGGATGTCGATACCTAGATTTGAATACCATGTACGGAATGTAACCAAAAGCCAACCATTAAGGCACAGTCCATTACACCAGAGCCATATACTGCATATACAGTATAATGGTTGGTTAATAAATTAGTAAATACCATGTGTTTAATATTTACAATTAATACTTTAATTTTACTTTATTTTTTTCCTCTGCACAGAAAAATACCATTATGATGGTATTAATATCAAACACGATGGTTTTGACCAATTTACCATATCAGAAATCTGCATTGATAGTATGCATATTAATTAAACCTTTACAGTTGTGCCAATAGAAGCATTCCAAAAAATGTTGACCAGTTCATTTCCTAACTTCGAGGAGTTCCTCTGAACAATTCCTCAACAATTTGATAAGTTCCTTAAAAAGTTCCTAACTTCCTGTTTCATTGACCAATCAGATTGCTCAAAAATAAGATATAAAATTTGATTGGTCAATGAAACAGAAAGACAGGAACTTTTTAAGGAACTTATCAAATTGTTGAGGAATTGTTCAAAGGAACTCCTAGGAAATGAATTGGTCAACATTTTTCAGAATGCTTCTATTAGCACAACTGTAAAAACGATTCAAAAACCATTAACAGAAATTTAAATTTTTTTTCCTGTGAATCCTTTAAAGCCTTACTTGGACATTTTCTTCAGAAATCTGTTGAAGTGTTCTAGACTTCAGATCACATTCAGAATTATCACCAACTACAATGAAAACAGTATGATAACTTTATTTAAAGCAGGGCTTTTCATTTAACCAGTTTATTATGATAGATAATGCTCCCTACTTTACTGCAAAAAAAACATTCATTCTGAATTATTTTTTCTGTTGCATGAAAATGAGTCATGAACCTTCTTCCTTCCCAACATCTTTGCCCTGTTCTTCAACAATGATAGATTGGTCGTGAATTTCATGATGATCATCATGGATAGCTTGCACATCAATAGTGCTATGAGCAATCAGTATGTCTTCATTCTTAGGGTCTTCCTCCATATTCCATGGACGTCATTCTGGTTCAAAGCAATGCACACATTACAGTCACAGTATTTTAAAAATTTAGTTTTTCCTATGGAATTTGTCATTTTCTGACCATCACAATTCTGTAAAATCATCACCCAAAGTGCATGAATTGGCATTTCAGGGACTCTAAATTACACAATTTTCGGGGGGAGCATGTCACCATACCCATCTAGGGGTTTTATCCTTTTGGCAATTGATAATAGTGTCTTTACATCGTTGGCCCATGAGCCAGGTCTACTGTGAAGAGCAACGTAGCATAGACCTGAGGATGAGAATGGTGATGCTACCCTGTGGGACCCTTATAAACTTTTTTAGTTTTCCCAACATCTTTAAAAACATTTTTCTGACAACACCCTTTTGTTGGGCAAAGCGACTCCACACACCCTACCAGAGTGAAAAATTTTGTGCAGGACATATTTTTTTCCTTGGGAAAAATACAGAGAAATGTCAGATATTTTCACAGAAGATTATGGCAAACAAAGGCCCTGCTGCAGTCAGAAAGTGTTTATGTCGAATAGGAAGATTGGAAATCTGCTTGGTTCTTAGTTCACCAACGAATTTTTTGCAGATTCTTCAGAAATTATTTGCAGTTAATTGTTACATAATTGCAAGAATTTTTGAGCAGAAAATTAATTTCCTCCAAAGCCAAAACTTTACAGTCTGACCCAGCCAGCAGAAATGTATTTTTATCTACAGACATTAAGGAAACTGAAACTCCAATCCCTTTATATAAACATGGCTCACACTTTTTCACAACTATAAAATTCCTCCAAAATTGAAAGATACCCAAACAAACCTTGTCCATATTTTGAATGCGCTTGCCAAGGGTTAAAAGCAAGTCAAAAATCAAGATAAATTGGCATTCTTAGCCAACAAATTAGGCTCTTTCGTGGTCGTTTCCTGTGCCACGAATTTAACTTCCCAAAAATAAAGCATTTGCACACTTTTAACTACATTTTCTGATCGTTTTCTGACACAGATATCGAACAAAAACATTGTCAAACTCCCGGTAATTTTTGACATTTAAATTTTGGAGCGAAGTTTGGAATAATCCGGGAACTGCGAGTTGCGAGAGACCCGAATGTTGACAAACCCCGTACGTAAATTGAACAAAAAAAATGGCTAAAAATGTACACTTTTGTTGCAAAAAATGCCTATTAAAACTGTGTAGATTTAAATAAAGCTAGTTAATTTGTTAGGAAATATACATACCAAGCTCGTGACAGAAAATAAGAGAGTAATTTTCTCTTTCTTGTGAAAAATTTGCCGTCCATTTCTCAGTCATCAAAATATTCAATATTTTTTACATCGAGTCACGTGGTTTCATCATGTTGCTGATCTCGAAATACGACTGGATACATACCTTTTTCGCGGTTCATGGACGTTTTCACAAATTTTCACCACTTGTATCGTGATGTTTTCCAGGGGGAATGTGGGGAAACAGCATCCTCCCACCTTTTTAACCAGGGGAACGGCGTCCCCCATGCCGAAATCAAACATGGGGAAACGGCGTTCCCCCTAGCTGGAATGAAATATGAGTGAAGTTCAGTGAACGCCGTTCGACACTGTCCAAATAATTTTGGCTATCACTTGCACTACATACGTGTTATTTTTGGCAACAATTACTCCGCATCCTACTATTTTAATCTCCCTGAAACTTGATATACTTGCAGAAAATTCTAGCAGACTAGCACAAAAATACTAGAGTCTCGTACAGGTAATTCACGTTCAGTTTATATAGATAAGTACTTATTGTCATAAGCGCGGATAACGTCAGGCAGCAGCCAGGCAAGGTATAATTAGTATAGTCTTCAGCGCAATCGCGAAATTAAACATTAAAATGAACATTAAAATGATCAATGGGAACATAAAATGATTCAATAAGAACATTAACATGATTAAACTGGAAAAATTCAAGGATATCTATTATCTAAACTTATTTAGTTACTCGCGAAAACGTCATATTTAACTTGCAAAGTTCACTGCTTGCCGAGTTGCCGGATACTAGTGCTCACATAGCGTTAATTGCATCATCGAAATTCTAAAGTCAACGTGGTTTTATTTGCTTTTTGACATCTACCGCGAGCAAGCTAGGTATTTTTTAGGTACATGTTGTACTAAATCCATTTCAAAGATTAAGATATTGCGTATGTACTTCGGTACTTGTTCACTATGACTATGCATGAGGCCAAGCCCAATCGAGTGACCACGCCTATTTGATTTTCGAGAGCGTCCCCCCACTTCTAAAATTAGCAAAACATCGCTGCCTATAAGTATATTTTTCTTTGTTAGAATTATATGACTTTGGAACCTTTCCTGAGGTTGAGGTCTCAGAAAATAAGTGATAAAATGAGTATCGATATCAATCAATGTTTATTAATCGATTGATGTTGGAATCGATGAATAATCGATGGCTTGTTTTGTTGTGACTTTCATTGATTTTTTTATCGATTTTCATTGATGAAATAATCCTCTGTTAATATGCATGTAATCAAACAGGTAAAGTCGTAATTTAATTAATACGTACTTTAATATCATAACAAAACAAATGTGATTTAAAAATGAAAATTAAAGCCCAGCAAATGACTTTCAGACAAGACATAAAAAAATATAAAATTTATTGGCTAACGTTGTGTATTGTTTGTTGTATTGTTCTTTTAATGACAGGTTGTTTTTCATCCTTATTCGCTTATTTGAATAATGTAACCGTTTGAAACTATTTTTATATATATAATACACGCTTGTAAATAAGTTTAATTGCTCTGAAGATGTTGTGAACAATACAACGAAACGTTGATAATTTTTATCTTTTGTTATGTCTTGTCTGAAAGTCATTTGCTGGGCTTTAATTTTCATTTTTAAATTACGCTTTACACCCGGTGTATCAATCGCTACTGTTTTAAAACAAATGTGAACGGAATTCAGCAACAATGGATTAAATTAAGTTTTTATCTGGCTATACAGATCAAATACATGTGTACCTTCGAAAAATGAGAACAGATTTACTGTTTAGTTCGAACATGCTCACACGAAACGACTATTTAGGATATACAAATCCATAAAAATCCAAAGCATTTTGTCGATAAAAAATAAAAATCGAATAATCGATAAATATCGACGAAAATCAATGAATATCGATAATAATCGATAAAATTGGTCATAACTTTTTTGTGACTATCGATTGGTAATCGATTGAACAATGTCAATCGATATCAATCAAGTAATTAACATCGATTGATCGATTGGATTTCCGATGATAGGTTTTCATCGATTAAGTACGCCGAGTATAATCATATAATGTACGTGCAAAAGGGGGCCCCACAATTTTGCCTGAGGTGTCCGGGAACCACAGGTATTTTTTTACGTCTTAGACAGAATTTTGTGCGCGGAGCAGAATTTTTCTTTGTCTTTTCTAATTAGTTGCACCTGAGAAATTACAATTTGAATTACACACCAGGATAATTATCTATTAATTAAACAATCTTATATTGTAATATTGTTTAATTCACTTTTATTAACCCGTTAAGCTGCAGTCATGAGCTTCCCCATTGACGAGTAAAATCGTCTGGCGTTACTTGTTAGACAAGTAAAAAAAGTAGGGCGCATTGCGGCTCAATGGGTTAATAAACATGTTTAACCCTTACAGTGGCAATGTGCCTGGATGTGACCTAGCTACTTTGTTGTTTTACTGTCTAACCCTTTAGGGAAAAAAAATATGTGGGTTTCCGGTTTCCTGACCCTACCTAGCTTTTGGATGCCAAAATCCCGACCCTAAACTTTTTTATTGGATCACGCTTGTAAGTGTTAGTAAGAGGAAAACATTTGTAGAAAATGAAAATTTGAGGCAATATATTAGGGAAATTTATCTTTGGATGTTGAAGCACTGACTAAACAAAATTACATCCGGTTGTTAGGAAAATAAAAAAAAGTTTAAAAAAAAAGTTAAAACCAACCTACCCTATACCCTAAGTTTTTATAAGAGGAAATAGGAAACCCACATTTTTTTTTGGGCCTTCAGCTACTACAGTATAGGTAATATGTTGCATCCTGATAAGCCCTACTTTATTATTTCACTCTGTAATCTGTTGTATATAAATTTCCACTTGATAATTTCTGTCTACCAGACTCTAAAAGTATTATTAAAATTGAGTGAGATGGCAACAAAATCTTGATATTTATCCACTAATCAGGGATGCCGGTGCAGCCGCCCCCGTTGCCCTTTACCAGGAGGGGCAAGGGGGGCAAAGATGCCTTTTCAATTTAAAGGATTGCCTTGGCGAAATAGCGAATTGTCAGGAATGTTAGTGCAATTCTTTTACGAATTTGCTTCAGAAAACGCAAGAAATGTAGTCATCGAGCTTCAAGAATAGCACAATCGCCTGGCGGAGAACCCCCTCACACCCCTATCATCCAATAAATAGAAAACATGATTAGGCGAAGTTTAACTCCCAATGTTTTGTAAACGTCTCTTAGTATATATCAATTCAAAAGTGCCCTTTCACGAAAAGCTGCCCCCCTTGCCTTCACATCATTCCGGCGTCCCTGCCACTAATGCATAACTGTCATTGGTGACTGTGCAATATTATCAGGGCCGTAGCTGAGTTCCGCCTGACAGATTTCTTTTGAAGTCGATTGTTTTTACGCTATGTGAACATGAATATATGAGAGTGAGTGTCATTGAATATAAAATTACAACCCCCCAATTATTGCGTCTAGCTACGGCCCTGAATATTATATAATAAAGTTCAGGAAGCATTCACTCAGCAGCTTTATAATCAGTTAATCTCACTCATCTTACAGACAATAGCAAGTCCAACCAAATCCAGTCTAACATATTGTCATTTTTGGATGTTCTAAAATAGTTCAGTTGGATGTCCAGATGAAGTACTTGAAAAGGTCAGTTTCAATTAGTTGTGTATTGTTAAGTACTACTGTATTATACAAGAATGATATGAAAATTTCCCTTCAATGGTCACCCTTTCAATTTCATCCAAATTGTTGAAAGCTATTTTTTATCAGCCGATATTTCGTCGATGATGAGAGGAATCATTTTTGACAATTTTCAGATTGTTTGGAGTGGGTTGGGGCACTTTTTAAATTTTTCAAAAATTTCGAATGGTCCTCCCTTTGTTGACTTCAGGGTTGCCTGTGGCCCAAATATTTCAAAACTTTTTGGGGGCACTTCTTGAATTTTGGAAAAATTTCCTGTGGTCCCACCCTTTGCTAAAGCCAAGGGTACTCTGTGGTCCCCCTTGGCATTTGACCAAAAAATTTTAAAACATGTTTTCATCGATTGAAACCAATTGTTTTGATGACAGGAAAGGTTTTCGACAGTTTTCAGAAAGTTTGGACTAGTTTGAGGCGCTTTTTGAATGTTTTTCAATTTTTGAAAAATTTCCTGTGGTCCCCCTTTGCTAAACCTAGGGTACCCTGTGGTCCCCCTTAACTTTTGGAAAGTACTTAAAACTATGGATGATGAAATGCCAAACAATGCAACTTCAAATACAATCTCTGAAGAGCAATGGTTATCTCACTTCCAAACATTGCATTCAAAACATAGTCTTAATGAGTCGCAACACAATGTCACAAAAACATTAAATATTGAAGAATTGAACAAAAACCAATATGCAAACTTAGATCATCCTATTTCAGAT